CTTCAAAGTTTTTTTTTGGGGGGGGGACAATCCTCCTCTTCCTAATAGGGAAATTTAATTTTGGAAATTTGTGGGTAAATTATGGCACATCACTAGATAGAGGGTGAAACTAGTTGGCCAAATTACCCCAGCCTGGGTGGGCTAAACAGGATAACTTTGTGGTGCAGAATGTCATTTTGGCTTTCCTTGCATCCATATACAAGGATTTAACCACACCACACCTCAATTAACTATTTGGCCCTTCTTTCCATTTAAAGAGAAAAGGAAAATAAAAGATAAAAAAAATCCCCGTTCATATCCCATCCCATCTCTTCCTCCATGCTTTGCTTAAGCTGGTTTATGATTGTGAGAAATTGAAAACTTCCTTCTTCTCTGCAGAGCGCAACAGTGAGGAAGCTTTCAGTTTCTTTCCTAAGCAACATAGCATCAGTGCTGCCTAGGCTTTTTTAAAATACACATTTGCTTGCTTCTGCTCCCCCATGGAAACTTTAAATTTCCCAGTATCATGAATTATCTTGAGCAAAGGGGGAGCTTAAGCCATTCACTTTGGTTCAGTCCCAGCAATCACACATGCTGGAACTGAACCAAAATGGAGTGATCCTACCCACACCAAAACAAGAACAGCAGCAATGTAACCCCTGAGAGGGACCCCAAAAAGTGGGCATGCATCAGAGACAGGCTCATGATGGTCCATGCTGGGAAAAGGAGCAAACCAGCTGTGACGTGCCCCACCAGACTACCCCCAGATTGGAACAAACAGCAGGACAAATGCCTTTTGATCCCACCTTGAGGTGGTTGTATCAGTTCTTTCCCTCATAGTGGCTATAGAGCTTACAGAAAATAAGATTTAGGCATTTACAGTGGTGGAAAAATGTTGTCTACGATGGTCCCTCAAAAATGTAACTGTTAGAAGGCCTGAGGAGGGTGGTGAACTCTGAAGAACGATTTCATATAAAAAGTCACAATGTCTCAGAAGTCTCCCCCCCCCGAGAGCTACTTTGAGATTTTCTTTTTTAACTGTAATATTCCTTTATTTGCACGTTTGTGTCCTTAATTTTGCCATCAGGGTTTTTTTTGGGGGGGAGGGGATCATTGCCTCCTCACCACCGCCACCATCACCGTGTTCTGGAATGGCACTGAACAGAAGGAAATGTGGAGGAACTAAAGTGGAGGCAGGGCTGCCAACACGGCAGTGTGGTTGCTGAAGGCACTGCAAAAGGTGAAATTCTTGCAGGGGGGGGGAGGAGGAAGCTCTCTACCAGAAGTGTTGCTGAAAGTGACTCTCACCTCTGAGAAATTGTGGGAGGATTTCTCCTTCTCCTCGAATTGTGTGGTGAGATTGATCCCCAAATTTCTATTCCCACACAAACAGGCCACTTGGACACAGCTAAAATTCAGTTACAATTTTGCTTGCATACACAGTGGGAAGAAGGATCTGCTGTGAAGTTTTAGAAGAGCTGTACGATTTGATTGTAGTAGAATCAGAGGCTGTCTTGCCAGCAACTGACAACACTGATGAGTTTTTGTTTTTGATTGTATGAAATACTGTTCTGGTTATAAGCTAATTTGTTTGGGTGTAAATTGATACATTACTATCTTTTGGCAAGGGAATACATAGCATACAAAAATGTTTTAGTAATATGCTTTAATCATCTCTGTGTGTCATTATCACATTAATCATTCAGTGTTTCTGTATTGTTACTGGGTACTGTGCATAGCTAAAATCAAACTAGTCTCTGCCTACCACAGGCTAATCAAAAGTTGTTTTCTTTAGTGTAGCTGATACTTTGTAGGCTAGCTTACAACTTTTGAATGGCTCCTGTATTTGTGCTGACTTCCGTTTGTAAGTTGCCTACTCTCCTGAGATGATTTTAATAGATTAAAATGAAATCCCTTGCACACTGTGTAATGTGGCAGTCTAGCCACAAGATCAAAATACATAAATGTAGGTTATGTTAAACTTCTGCATCAGAATGTTTGGGACAGATGTTTAAAATCTTGAGATGACTCAGAATTTTCTTCTTCTTCTTCTTCTTTTTCTTCTTCTTCTTCTTCTTCTTCTTCTTCTTCTTCTTCTTCTTCTTCTTCTTCTTCTTCTTCGAATGGCTTTCTGCCCAAATTATATTTCCGTGTATTGTAGACCATGCTTTTTGTGCATCTCACATCTCATGCAGCGGTAATGACATCTAGTGTATAACATTATAATGAAAACAGAGTTTTTAAAGGTCCAGGTTCTGATTATCTCCTTGTACATGGGATGCCTATGGACATGTTTACAGTAGCCCAAAATAAGGTCTCTGCATTCAGATAATCACTGGAACATCCCAGTCTTCGCTCAAAAGTAGGTAGTATCTGCCATTAGGTAGATAGGTAAGTTTAGATCAGACATCTTCATTCAAATCAGGAAAAAGTGTGGGAGGGATTGGCTTATTTATTTATTTATGAATGATACTACAACTGTCAATCTCTCAGCAAGCGTAACTGTTTAGGGATTTGGGGAACTGTAACTTTTGAGCCTCATTCCTGATTAGGACTTAGCTGTGCCTTTGGGCGTCACTTCATCGAAGTCCAGCTTCCCTGCCTGCCCCTGAGTCTAAGGTTGTAGTCTTGTATGTGCTGCTTTCTTAGGATGAATTCCCATTGAAATATACAGTACATCAATAGAACTAGGCTGCATAGTTCTCTTCTTGAGAGGAGAATATCCAGATACATTAAACAATGTAAATTAACTGCCCCATGAAGTCATGTGTTAGAAAGAAGAGGTCAGCTCTTTTATTTCCAGCACTGTGCCTCATGCAGATCCAGTTTTTACCTACTGATCAGGATGCACTCTGCCAAATCCATTGCCACAGAAGACAAACTTTCTGTGAAAGTTTTCTTTGAATAACACTGTACAGTATTGTCTTGGCTCTCCTGAATTTGTTACTCTTTCCTTCACCCAGTGCTTTAGCATCAAATGTAAACGTAGCTCTCTTTTGAATGTACTGCTCAAACGTGGCTCCTTTAAAAATGGGATATAATTTTTTTTTAAAAAAAAAGCTGATTGTTCAAAGGTTGGAAGGACTTTAAAAATATAACTGCAGCTGTAGCATACAGAAAAGAAAAAAAGTCTTTATGGCACACGTGTTCATCTTTGTAACGAAACCTTACATCACTGATGCATATTCATTCATTTTTCCACTGACTGCCCCCGGTTAATAAATTAACTGTTTGGATTCCTCCATTTTTATAATTCTTGCCCCTTGGGTGACTTCTTCAAAGAACCTTCTGTCTGTGGTGTTGCAGCAGAGCAGATTCAGAAAGTTCTCTGTGGAGAAGGAAGTAAAGAGTTTTGGTTCCCATTTTGCGCTTCTGGAACAGTTTAAGGAAGGAAGCACCTTTACACCTTTTATTGTTCGTGGTTGCTGACATCATCTCCTTCCCTGACCACGCAGTGCGTGTTTCCTGCCATTCTGTCAAGATTTTTCTCTGTAACTGAGAGGGAGGGAGGGAGGGAGGGAGAATGTGTGAGAGAGTGAAGGGAGAAGAGGTGACCCTCAGGCTGCATCTGCCCACTGGAGCTCAAATCACTCTTTCCTCAACTCTTTGTGGCCTTGCTAAATCTTAAAGTGAACAGAAGCCCGCCATAGCGAAGTTCCTGTTTTCAGCAGTCTGATTTTTTTTTCAGATGTGTTTGGGTTTCCATAAAGAGAAAAATGCTGAAGAACGTAATTCTGAAGAATGTAACATCAACGTTTTTTAAAGAGATGCATTTATTTACATGTAACTCTGTCAGTATCTTGGAAGATTTCTTTAATGTGGACATTATTTCAACAGGGTTTTTGGGAAAAAAAGTGCCTTACAATGTACAGTAGTTAGCTTCTTGTAGTGTGCATTTCCTGAGGTGCCCTGGAGTTTATACCATTTTTATAGTTTTTGTAACAAATGCCATACAAATGCCTGATAGTACTCAAAGGTGTTTCACAGTTCAGGTTACTCTTTTAAAAAATTTCGGAAGTGATAGACTTCTGGATTGCCTTCACCCCAGCCTTCTGACTGGACCACATCTCTAAAGATATTGAGAGGCCCATGGCTCAGGATTCAAATATTCATTTCAATTTATTCTGTAATATATTTAACTGAGCATTTTTCTACATGCTTTAGTATATGGCTGCAAGTCTAGTATGCATGCATAAAATATGCATACATTGTTAAATGCATATGAAGTGAGTATGTATAAACTATAACAGATATACAAAAATATATCTGTGATGTTTTTCTTTAGGTTTTCTGTTACTAGTAAAATATTGCGAAATAAGGAGGAAATATTAATGAAAAAAAATCAGAATTGTAAGGATTTGTCAATAAGCTGGAGAAAAAGAAAATCCCATAAGCTTATTTTTAACCATAGTGCTGCCCAAGTCTGCTTCGTTTATAGTTTGTAAAACTGCAAAATATCTTTGCCATGTGCATGTACTCTCTCACTCTCTCTGTGCAAGTGCACACAAACACAAATTATGCGTTAGTGTATATATTGACAAAAACAGTTAACACACAGTTTCTTGTTCCTATGTATAAGAACAGCATAATAATTGGGATCAATGCTTCCTTTTAAAACCATATGGACTTTTCTACCCCCAACCCTGGCTAGCTTGTCAACAGATTGTTGCTCCAAATGTGAACAATGGTTTAAATTCATCTCTCTTGAGTTACAATGATGTAAATTTGGAGTTCTCTCCATGTCCCCGGTGGGCTTACCCTAGATTTATGTCTGTTGGGTTAAAAAAAAAGAAGCTTGGGAGGCTATTTTGGGAACATTTTCTTAAATGTAGCTGCTGAAAACTCAACGTTCCTAACACCCGTCTGTTTATAGTCTTTCCCCCCTTTTCTCTTCTGAAAACTCAGTCTAAAAAGTGGAACTGATAGTTGTGTGGGAGGGACTCGCCATGCTGTTACTTCACCAGGGGCTCAGCATGCATGTCCTAACAGACAAGACTGTCAGCGTTCAGTGATTTCCACTCCAAACCGCCCCCCCCACTTTTCTCATTCAGCTTCAGAATCCTGATCTGTAAAGCAGCTCTCATCCTGGCTAACCCTGTCACCACTTCTCTAATCTGTCCACCCTGACCTTCCACCCTCAATAGAATAAGAGCTTAGGCAGGCGTAGGGACTGTAAGCCGATAGTGCCTCTGGCTCCACGTGAATGAAAGGAAAGGAAATTGTTCCATATGCATTTACTGTGGATTAGTCTATTGGCTTACTGTTGTGGAGAAAGCCTGTTAGAGTCCTTGGGTCCTGCACGTACATGGGAATTACCTGGCTTTTTATATCAGAGGTAAGCTGAACTATTGGTGTTGTGTGTAGGGGGACACTATAGACAATAGTCAATCAAATGAAGTTGAAATGCATTTTATAAAATGGACATGTTTTCCTACTTACCAGCAAATGCTGGAGACTTAGATGTTTCCAAAATTTGCACAGATGGTATGAAATACGTTTGAAAGAAATTGCTTTAAATTCAGTGTTCGTTCTTGTTCCCTGATTTGGGGTAATGCAATCAGCTACAACTGAACTACTATTAGTTGCAAGAATTAAAATAAACTAGTTTTTTCTATAGGTGAAAATGTAAGCAAGCGCTATTAATGGTATGAGTTGATACTGGTAGTTTTAGGTTGCTGATCGTTTTACAAAACAGCTTTCTTATACTCTAAAGTAATAATGGCAGGATTGAATTTATTATAAGAGAAAACTAAATTTACAGTACAGTTTTATGCATGTCTACTCATGTGTAAGCCCCATGGAATTCCATGGGAGTCATAGGGCTTGAAGGCTTATAAAGTTTGGAATTCATCAGAAAGAAAACGAGAGGTGTGATTCCAAACATTAAATGAATTTTCACAAAGAAACTGAATTTTCAGAACTGTCATTCATAGTATGTATCAACATTTCTGCCAGAATAACATTGGATGGATCTAAATGATGGATCCCCAGGCCAGGATTTCAGTTGAGTAAATTTTGGGAGAATTAATCCGTTTGGCTATAAGAGAACCACCAGCCTAGGATTAGCAAGGAAAGCTTAGGTTCCATGTCAGATTTCTGCCTTATTTTAAATTAAGAAATAATTTCATCAGAACAGAATGGTGTGGGAAGAATTGTACAATATTCTGATATACTCACTTACCTGGAAGTAAGTCCAAATGAACGTCTGAGTGGACATGCTCAGACTTGCGCTGTCATAAATCATAACTTATTTATATCTGCGTCTTGAGAGGATCTGATTTTGCTGTCCATGTTAAGCTTTCCACACTGTCCATTTTATTTCCAGTTTTAAAATGAATCATGGAGATGCTCGCCTTCATCTTTTCATGTATAGTTGCCACCTACCATTTATTTATTTCTTACTTTACTTACTTTTATTTGTTTCTTTATATATGCAGAAGTTTGGAATTAATGCCAGGGTTGATTCTGCTTTTTGGAAGAATGTTGGGAGATATATTGTGTGTTTTTGAGCCTTCTTACAATGTGATTAGTTGCTTTGGTTTTGTTTCTTTACAATGTGTGCACAGACTATATTAACAACTTACTCCAATTATTCAACGTATTATAGATAGGAGTTTGTACAGTTATATCAACTATGACGGAATAGAGATTTTTCTGCTGAAGTATTTTATCAGTAGTTGTTCCTTTTTTTAAAAAGAGTGGAATATAAGGTTAAAGAATTTAGATTTCAGCTGACATTTCTTATATATCAAATGATATTTTAATAATGGTCTAGCCTATTTGCATAATAAGAAAAATTATAGTCTCTTCTGTTTTCCTTGAAATCTGTTTAGCTTGATTACTTAGCTTGCACAGGTATGGAAAGGTTCATTAGCTCTTTGATTTAGACAATTTTTCATATTTTCAAGGAAGTATCATAGATTGGGAAGATGGACATCTCTGAGAAGTATGAGATTACACCATTTAACTGTTTTAGTGACAGCTTAAAAGGTTTCTCCTTTTTATTCTTTATATTCCCAGATCCTAAACTTCTTATTTGAATGTGCATTCTGCATTGAAATAAACATGACTTCTGAATAGCTTTAGAACTGGAGTGCCATAGCTATTCTCTCCCAAAAAAAGGATACACCACTTTAAATTTATTTGAAATAATGATTTCTCGCCATTCCAAGAATTGCAGTTAGGATGTTATCATGCATAAAATTGTTCTGTTGAGATATTTAGTCTGGGAAACTCCTCTAACTATTCATTTGTTTTGTGTCTTTAGCAGGAACGGATGCAGGGGTCTGTAAATTGAATCGTGTAAGTGCTGAAGAAGGAGTCTTGGTTTGAAGAAACAGGAAAGAGGAAGGAAAGAGAGAAAGAAAATACAGAAGTGTAGGAACGAGCGAGAGAAGAAAAACGGGGACTATGGGGAGAAAAAAGATTCAGATCACGAGGATTATGGATGAACGTAACAGGCAGGTATGTTGCAAAATAATCCTTGTGATGTTTTATAGTCACATCATGGCATAACTGATCTCTGCACTGTATGGTTGATTTCTTTATATTAAGGTTAGAAAACTTCCCATATATATCACATATATGATGCATAGACTACTATCCGAATGTTATCATTTGGGAAATTTCCAAAAGTTTCTCATTTAAAAACTGTTCCATGTTTTGTAAACATTTTACAGTGCAGTCCTATTCATATTTACTTAGTAGTTTTAGAAGAGGTGGCCAAGTTAGTCTGTGCTAGCATGTCAGGTAAAAACACAATAAAAATTTTTAAAAATTAGGAAGACAAAAATATTGTGGCACCTTAATGACTAAGTGCAATATTTTAATGTGAGCATTTATGGACAAGTCTGCTTTTTGGAAGTAAATCCACTTGTTCTCTAGACTAGGTATAATAAAAGATTCTTTATACTGAATAGATATAATGTGTGTATTTATCTGTGCATGATTATTATTGATAGACCTTACAATACTGTAATGCCAAAATGCAATGCTTTATCTTGCTTTATTTTGCAAAATTAAAGAAGCCTAGCATCTGATTTTATTATTCCTGTCACATTATTGTGATTTTAGAAGGGATTGTCTCATGACTCTGATAAAAGTCAAAACAGTTCACATTTTACATCTTTTGTTTGAAAGGGGTCCATGTTCATTTATAAGGGACACTGTTTCTTAAAAACCAACCTCATTTTGACTGAGGCTATCGCTTCTTTGTGGCCAGTATTCATATGTACCTTTATAATCCAAAATTGGCAATAATGGCTATGTTGTAGATTTATCAGATAAATAATGTTATTCTTGTAGTTCCTCTTGCCAATGTCTGGCATTACTCTTTTTTTGGGGGGGGGGGTAATAACATGTGCACTTAGTATACTGGATAAGCTCAGAATGCTAGCAATAAATCTGTTCACCTAAACCTATCTCTATAAACCTAAATTAGTATTTTATGCAACATGAGATAGATTTCAGTTATCGTTGCTTTAAATTCAAGTTTGCATTATTAGGAAAATATATTTGTTTGCTATAATATGCATAAAACCCTAAAAACAGATGTAAGAATGAAACAAGTGAAATAAACATTAAGCAAACAGAATGACAGAATAACTTTGCCTGATCAAAAAAGTGGCTTAATTATATGTACTATAATTATTTTTGTGTATTAAATACCCTCCTAGATTTGCAGGATAGATTGTAAATATGTTACACAGTTACATTTTTCTTAGTTGCATTGCGAGAATACATACCATACAATTCATGCCTTATTTTTCAAAATTCAAATGTTCTGATTTAGAGTCTCCAGAATGACTGAGAATAATAAGTTTGTTTGCTCGTTCATTCGTTTGCTCGTTCATTCGTAAATTCAAATGTTCTGATTTAGAGTCTCCAAAATGACTGAGAATAAGTTTGTTTGCTCGTTTGCTCGTTTGCTCGCTCGTTCTTTCTTTCTTTCTTTCTTTCTTTCTTTCTTTCTTTCTTTCTTTCTTTCTTTCTTTCTTTCTTTCTTTCTTTCTTTCTTTCTTTCTTTCTTTCTCATTATTGCTTGCTGTCAAATCAGTTCTGACTTACAGTATCTTTCTCAGGATTTTCTAAATATAAAGAGCTCAGAATTGATTTACAAGTGCCTTTGACCTCCTTTGGGGGGCGTTGCAAAACAACGTAGCTTGCACAAAACCAGACGGACTAGCTTTTCTCCAGAGAGGCACATTGGGGTATCAAACTTCCAGACCTGGGCTTCAGAGTCGCTTGTTCCACCACACTGAGATCCAAGGCATTTATTTGCTTCATCTTGACTTTCCTCCAAAGACTTCAGAGCAGTGTACATGGCTCTGCTCCTGCTCAATTTCTCATCCCAACAGCCCACTGTTATTGAGAGGGTAGGACTGGTCCATGGTCACCAGCTAATTTTCCTAAATGAGTTGGGATGTGAACCTAGATCTCCTGTGTTCTAGTTCAATCTAACTGCTCTAACTACAGCACACTTACTAATCTAGCAGCAGATAGGTAATAATTACATGCATTACTTCCAGGTAGCATATGGAGATGCATATATCCATTTTCATAACAAGAGTGATGAGAAAACATACTTCAAATCTGCTCTATACCCTGCTGGAGATGAATCTGTGCACATCACAGTATGTAGCCAGTCCGTATCAGCTTTGTGTCAGGTATGCCTAGTTCTCCAGCCACCATTGGAAGCCATACGTAGAGTTCCAAACGCTGGAAATAGGCATCCATGGAGAGACTTCTAGGATGTTCTGCCTTCTTGCACCCTAGTATGATTTCCACTCCAAACCGTAGAAACCAGGGATAACTGCAGTTAGAAACCAGATCTTGCACATAGACTTATCTGCCTAATCAGGTGTACACCTTTTCCCAAAGTAACAGAATGTAGATGCAATTTGCCATTCTTCTTACCAAGACACTCCAGCATAGAACTTGAAAACACTGCAGTACTAATATAACTTGGCCTCTTTGTGGCATAAAATCAAATAATGTAGACAGTGATAACATTTAAAATAAATACATTCTGAATTTTCTCTTGACATTACTTATTGCTGTGGGTCAAGCTAGAAAGCTATAATTCTGTCAATATCAAAGCACTGTATTGGTTTTTAATTGTTTACTGCTAGAATTTACATTGGAAATGAAATAGTGAGCAAGATTAAACCTCTGCACAATGGCAGCTTTTGTGTGAGCATGATACCAATTATGCTTAAAAATACACATAAAGAAAGGGAATTCATATTTTCATTAAAATAATTAGATATTTTCATTTATATTCTGAGTATTACCTCTTATATTCATATTTAAAAATAATATATGTATTCACCCAGAGTTTATTAGAGAATATTTACAAGTAATAACTATAATTTAACTTCAAATTCTTTTTAGTCCAGAAATCACAATCTCTTGTTTACCAAAGTATGAATGCCAGAGGGCAACATTATGAATTTTTGTGTTATACTGATATTAACAGGAGCTATAATAGTTTATTTACGGTCCTTAGACCAGTCACATAAGTATAAAACCTTATAAAACCCTAAAATTTTTAACTTTCAATATTCCATTAGAACATGTTGACATACATACAACTGGGAACTGCAATCTAATTGGTATTTAACTTCCATGATCAAAGTATTGCTACACAGAACCTATAAACCAGCGATTTAACTTTCTGTTGTAGCCAGGTATGAGGTATGAGATTTAAGAATGTGTCTTCAGCTGGATCATGCCATATATTACCACTTCTGATTGGTGAACTTTTTTTCCACCTAGCATATTTTTAAAATACTGTTTTGCTGTCACATATTTCTGTTTTCCTCAGTCATAATTTCTTCTAGGTGTTTTTGTGTCCTAATTCAAAATAGAGTTAGCAGGTACATTTCTTTTGTATTAATTGGTTTTCCAATGAGCTTAGAGCATAGCCTATTAATGCTGTGTGGTATAAGATGTGTGAACTAAGCAATCGGGTTATCGTAAAAAAAAAAAAATCCATGGGATTTTTCATACCCTGTTTGCTGACACTGCTTCTGACATCAGTCTTCCCATGGAGATGTGTAGTGCCACAAAATGCCCTTTAATACATTTTGAATAATGGGTGGATCTAGAGTTGTAGGACTGTAACTCCACAAAGTGAATGGCAGCATTGCTGGAAAAGGGAGAAGTGGTTTTCTGTGATTGCTTCTCTTCCATGTCACTCCTTGGGCCTTTTGAAAAATTATTCTGAAGAGTCAGAGATCCTCCAGAATAATGTGTAAAGTGAAGACGAGGACCAAAGGGAGAAGGAGAAATTGGTAAAATCATCAGCTAGCACTCTTGCTCCATTGGGAAGTCTCTGCTGTATCTTTGTCCCTGCTCCCTTTGCCCATTTTTGTTCTGTTTATCTGCACAAGATTGTGTAGTGCATAGTGCTATTGCGGCTATATCATGGTGTTCTCTCTTCCACCTAGTACAGAAGTAGGCACACAGGAAAGGATTCATTTCAGTTAAACACTTTCAACTTTGCCTGGATTGCAGCCGTAATACGTTACTGAACCTAGTTTAGCAATATTCATGTAGGATTGGGGGAAAGTGGATTTTTTCCTTCCTGGGACTGCCCTAATGCCCATTATCGTCTCTTTCAATGGTGGTGCCAGTAGTACCAAAACACTATTCTATCTCTGTCTAACCAACCTTACATGTGTTAAATTGTGAGCAAAACTCTGCAAGCCATCTAAGTTAATTTTTGTAAAATATTTTGCCTTCTCTGAATATTTAACATTATACATTCAAGGTTGTATTCACAATCTTTTCCCTCTAGAACTCACAAACACTGGAATTGTTTGACTGGTTTTTAAATAGAATGTGAGATTTTCAAGACCTCAGATATATTTAAAGAACCTAAAATCATGTGCTTTCTGAAAGACTTTTTAGTAATGCTAAAAATATCTTAGGCAGCTTTGAGAGCTCACTGAAGTCGCTTTGAAATTACACAAGTTGCAGGGTGGTGCAAGAGCAGCATAGATCCTTGCTTTTGAACTTATTTTTGCCCAAACTAGCTATAATTCTAATGTTATTCTAGTAGAAGGTATAGGAAGAACTAAGTCACTGAGATACGAGCACTGCAGTAAGGGTGATGAGAAGCAAATTCAGATTTAATATTCTCAACTTTAAAATAGGGATAGACAACCATGGCCCTCCCAATATTCTTGTACTATAGCTTTCATAAATCTCCATTGTCAGTTATGATGGCAACGGCTGATAGGAGTTGTAAACTCCAAATATATGTACAGCCACAGTTGCCCATCCCAACTCTAGAAGCTACCTAGAGCTCAGATATACTGAGGCAGGTGTACAAAGAAGAGAAGCAAAATCCTATTGCCTGACATAGTAAATCCCACTAGAGTAGGCCCATTGAATCAAGCCAACTCCATCAAATGGACCTACTGTATCTACTCTAAACAACAGGATTTTGGCAAATGAGA